TTGCTTTCCGTTTGAATCAGCAGTTGTATGCGACTATAAAATTGAAACAGTATGTTATGGTTGATTGATACAAGACAGTTTGATGATTTTGATGATTTCATGTAACAAAAACACTAAAACACTTATTATTTATTGAAAAAAGTAGATTATGGGCAACCACATTGATTTTTAATTTTCAATTAAAAATAATAATCTGCTTTTAAAATTAATACGATTAAAAGTAAATCAATAGATTTTATTGTTGTGTATAAGTTATCAATAACTAAATAACATAAATAACAATAGAAAAAGTAAAAAACATTGTTCAAAGTTTTCGTTTTTTTAATTTTAACTTTTTTATTTTTTGTTAGTGTTTTTGTTAACAATTTGAAACAAAGTCGAATAAGGGAAACTTGAAAACTTAAATGTAAAAAAAAAAAAAAAAAATTAGTTATATGATTTTGTTTATTATTAATTGTATTATACTTATAATTAAAATTTAATTTTTTGAGGTTCTTTAATTTGGTTTTTTGAAGCAAAACCATGCTTTTATTATATCAATATCAAAGTAATAAAATAGCCAATATAATTTTGATTTAAAAAACCCGCTATTCATACAATCCGCCGGAACAGAACGATTCCTGACAGAATTAACGTAACGGAAATCTGTAAAAAATAATTTTTTTTTGTAAAAATGGATGTACACACAGTTTTGAGAATTATAAAGAAACTTTAAATTCTTAATTTCTTATTACACAATGAGTATACCAACGTTGGAGCAGCGTTAAATAATGTTGTTATTTAGATTGTAGTAACTTTGGATTAACGTTGGAATTGGAAAGGATAGATAACGTCAGATTTTCTAACGTTATAATGTTATATTTTTCAACGCTAACTAATGTTAAGCAAATTTGTAATTTCTATGTTTTTATTGCAACGTTTTTATTAAGTAAGAGTTAGCAGATATCGGAACTCGAACCCAGATCACACGCTACGCAGTACATCGCGCATTCAACTACGCTACAGTAGGGTGTTTCATTTCCGACAATTTTTCGAAAATGGTTACGTTACATGCATAACGGGGTAAATAATGGGCCAAAAAAAGTCTTTAAATTTTTCAAAATTTTAAAATATCATCCTAGAGGTCGCCGTCTTGAAAAAATGGTGTTTTTTACCCTTTTCTCAACTTTAAATTTAAATTACTTAAAAAATAATTAATTTAATTTTATGTTACCTGGTGTGTATAATAAAGGTTATCGGATAAACATTTGGCCAAATTTTCAAAAATGTTGGTTAATGTCTAGAGGTCGTCGAATTATAAAGTTTTATTTTTTCATCGTATTTTTTTGCCACTAAAAGTTGTTGCGTGATTAAATAGTTTGCAAAATAAACATCTGGACGTTTGTATATAAATTCCATAAACTTAAAAAAAGAATTGGTTCTTATATCAATTAGCAAAATTGAAATTTTAAAACAATCTTAAAACTAGTTGGATAAGCGAATATTTTATTGTAACGATGAACCTAAGCAAAAATAATCAAGTTTCAGTCGTCTACCAACAAAAAAACATGTTTTAGGTAAATTCTTTCATTTACATTTTTATTCAAAAGACGACACTTCTGTAAGAGATACTTTTGCCAATTTGATCAGATAACTCTTGTCTTTCATTGCTTACCAAATTGTTTATGGAAAAGGTGAAAATAAAAAAATTGATCGAGACGTTAAAGCTGGAAAAGAAAAAATTGTCAGATTTTGTAATGAACTTGAGCAACTTTGCGACAGTTCAGCAGTAAATGCTTATAAACAGTTATTAGTATTACGTAGATCAAAATGGAAAGATGATTGGGCATTTTATGAAGATTAAAAGAGTAGTAAAAAGTATCACATGACAGGTAGCATCGATCTAGATGTTTCAAAATTTTTAGAACGTCAAGAAGATAGGCTTAGCATAGATTTTTGGAGAAGTTCAACCGAAGATCAAAAATCGAGTGGCTTTGAAGTCAGTGAGTTAGTTGAGAAGAAGATCACAAAGATATAGAGTTTACTCCCGCACCACTAAAGAAAAGAAAGATGCCATTAACAAATTCACTAGAGATATCAGCAAAGAAGCTCTCAGAAGTAACGGCATCTGTGGCAGATTGATGATGTTTACCAGTTCGCCAACAACTTTTATTTCAATCCACTATCATCTGCAAAAACGGAGGCAAACTTGATGAAGTTTCTATTTCAGCATCAACTGTGCATCGTCAAAGACAAAATGCGCGGGAGAATTTTGTTCTGTCAGTTTAAGCTGACTGGGAGATAAACAAACCTAAAAAGGCCATTTTGCACTGGGATTCGAAGCTTTTTCATTTAGACATAGCTCATAATGAAGAACGTGTAGCAGTTCTTATTAGGGGATCTCTGAACGGGTACTTATTTATTTATTCATATAAATCCTATGTGTATTTTTTATATTTGTATTCAAAGAAACTAACTTAACTTTTATTTGCAGGCCGAAACTTGTTGGTGTACCTTTGATTAAAAATTCGACAGGTAAAACTCAATGTTACGTGGCCGTGAAACTTGCGCAAGATTGGAACATTTTGGAAAACATTGTTGGTATATGCTTTGATAAGCAACACAGGTAATAAAAAAGGAGCAGCAACTTTAATTGAAATTGAGTTAAAGAGACCTCTCCTATGGCTAGCATGTCACCATCACCATAATGAGCTACACATCAAACATGCATTTACCGCATTCCGAGGAGGTAGCAAAAGTCCAGATGAACCTATTTTTAAACGTTTCCAAGCCCAATTTTCTAGAATTGATATTGATTACTCAAACTTTAATTTTTTAAATTTTGTTCTGTAATGGGCTTACTAATGTCTCGAAGAGAAAATATTTCCACGAGAAGATTATCTTGAGTTAATTGAATTAACTATTATCTACTTTGGGGGAAAACTATCAATGGACAGAATATTCAAAATTCACAAACCAGGTGCAATTCACGATGCGAAATTTATGCCACATTCTATATATATTTTAAAAATGAAACTCTTATCTAATAAATTTATTGTGTCCAATAATGAGCAAATTATGATCCACCGCATGGCTAAGTTTATTAGTCCTTTTTATTTGATGCATTTCTCCGCTCGAGGATTTCTGTATTTGTTCCAGTTGATGACTTCAAATTTTTTGTTGCAATGAACTGGTATCAAGAAGAAGATTCAAATATCCCAACGATTTCGTCGATTAATCGTCACCTTTCGTATTTAACAGAAGAGCTTGTTATTTTATTTTCATTTAATGAAAAATTGTCAGAATTTACCAGAACAATAATGGCAAAGAAACTTTTTTCTACCCCAAGACTAAAAACATTTTTAATTGGGAAACCAAAGTTTCCGACATTAAGTTCTTCAACCTTTAGTTATTTTTTAATTGGACCACGGCTTTTATTTGATTTCTTAGGACTAATAAACTACTCCAGATGAATCCACAAGAGTGGAAATTCTTCCAAGATTATGGAATTGCAGATAATTTTGTTAAACAATTAGAGGTAACAAATGATTGCGCCAAAAGAGGAATCAAACTAATTGGTGATTACGCAAGTGTGCGCAAAATGAAGAACAACGACAATTTATTTTGCAAGTTGTTGAACAACACAGAAAGCAAAATCCATCCTATTCGAAATCAAAACTAATTAATACTTTATAGTATTTTTTATATTACTACTATCTTCTTTATTAATTTACCTACTACTTCATCATACCTACTACTTCATCGATCTTTAAGTGGTTGTTTGTTTGTTTTTTTCCTGCTTTTTGGTTACTTTAGATTCTTTAATGCTTTCTTTTGATTATTTTTCATTGCTTTTTTATGTATTTTTTTTTTTTTTAAAAAAAAATACTTTTTTTTAAAAAATTATTTTGTAAGGGAATTCTGTGTTTATTTTATATCAGAATTCTGTAAAGGTGGTACACCAGGAAGAAAAATGACAAAATAATTTTTTTTTTGTTTTTTTTCAATTTTATGAAAGATTTAAGTTGACTTTTTTAAAAAACTTTTGACATACTTGTTTAAATATATAGATTAACTTTATTCTTAGAAAAGCTGAAGCCTAAAAATAGCCTAGTTGAATTTTTTTTTTTTAGATTAAAAAAAATAAAAAGTTTTGTAGCTTTATATTTTAATACGGCGACCTCTAGACATTGACCAATTTTTTCTGAAAATTTCATTAAATATTCATCTAATAAGCTTTGATATATGCACCCAGTAACGTAAGCTTATAAATAGTAAAATAAAAACTAAAAATACACTTGTATAATACTATTTATAATAATTTTACTTGCGACCAATAATATTTTTGGTCTTTGAAATTTGTTGAATAATAAAATTTGTAGTTATAGAAATAAAATAATATAAAACAGTAAAACATTAACACTATGCAAAAGTAAATAAATGAAACCTAAAACCATAATACTTTTAAATATTGCAACGCATTTATACGAATAAAAATATTTAATTAGTTAATTTTCATTTATTTCGCTAATACATATGTTCTTAACTCATATAAATGAATTATAGAATGCTTTGCTTAAATAGTTCCTACCACAACAAAAGCATTTCTTCATAAATAACAAAAAAAAAACATTTACTCTTCCTTTATATCCGTTGTAATATTTGTTTTACTATCAACTTCTAATAACTTTTTACTAAGTGAATGTCTGTTAACTAAATTTTAATCCTCGCTTTAAGCTAATAAATAATAGCGCTCTTCTTTTTTTTAATTAATCATTCAAATTAAATGAGCATAGTTACCAGATTTGCTAGTTTTTGTTATCAATTTTTGTTATGCATGGTTACCAGATATGTTAATAGCCCCCATTATTAATCTAAAACGTGTTTTGCCAAAAAAAATTTGCAATATTTTATAGGGGAGTTTCTAAAACGCCGAATTCTTAAAAGCCGAAACGCCGAAATGCCGAAAAACCTTCTATGAGAAACTGAATAAAAAACGGAATGAAAGCGGTAGTCAACCCCCGCATTAATTTTTAAGTTGTTGTTTTGAATTCTATTAAAAAAATTCAAAACATGTAAAATTAAAAAAATAGTGTAGCAATAAGTTTTGTATTGCTATAGCATCTGTGTATCGCACAATGAAGTTAGAGTGATTTTCAGCAATAAGGTAAGTTTAGTGGAACCTGCACAATAAGAGAAAAGTCTGTAACTAATGTTAAATATGCACAATAATGTGTTATCACAACAAGAGTAAAATTTTTATTTAGTAAATTTTTTGTTGTTAATTTTTTCTATATGTTTCTTTATTCTGTGTTAGTTAACACAGATTAAAGATTAATTAATCTGTGTTTTTTTAATCTGTGTTAGTTTTAATTTTTAATAAGAAAATTAGAGGTTTGAAAGAATTGGAAGTTTCTTTTTTTAGTTTTTTTTTTAATTTAATATTTTTATTTACATAATATAAAGTAATCTTTGAAGTATGTCTGTTTCAATAGTTGATGGTTGATGCATCAGTTTGTTTCAATAGTATGGTTGATCCATTAGTTTGACAAACCTCAAGTACTTTATTTTATTTATATAAGGAAAACAGTTATGTTTTCCTTAAATAAGCTGAAACAACAACAAAAGACGATATATTTACCAGCAGTATAAATATTTTACATAAGCATGTTATAAATTACAAAAAATATATCTGCAGTCTACATTCTGGATGGTTCACTCTTATATAGCCTGTCTAAATTGAGAAGAGCGATCATGAACAAAACAAAACATAAATAAATAAAATAAAATAAATGATATACACACAGAAGGTTGCTATTAGTCAACATTCATTTTTATATCTTATATATCTTCTATGGTGATATATATTTTATAACTAGTAATACAATTGTTGTTTCTATTTATCTTGATGTAACAACTATTGATTTAATTTAGTTTTGAGGACACTTTTTTTAATGTTGTAAAAAGGGATTGTTTTTGATTTATTTTGAAGTTAATTCCAGTCCATTAATGCAAAATATTTAAAGGAATGTTTACCGTAGGATTTTGTATTATATGTTTACAAACTCAGTGCATCTCTACAAGATTTACTTGTGAGTTGACAGCTAATTGCACCACAAAGAAAAACCATTTATTAAATATTGAGCTGTTTATGCAGCTGTAAATAAGTAAACAATTTTCAATTTTGATTATGTCATGTAATTTTAAAATTTGTAGTGTTTTAAAGATGTAAATGTATGGGTACTTTTTGGTAGAAATTCAATAATCCTGACTGCTTTTTTCTGCATGATAAATAGGTGATTCACTTATGTTTTGATTCCATAATAGAAGGCAATATGTGATGTGAGGGTGAAATAAAGTATAGTAAATAGATTTTAAAAATTTTTGTTGTTTGAAATGTCTTAGCTTTGATAAATTGGCAAAAGATCTAATCAACTTATTAGAGCTATCATTATAAGTCCAGGCTAAGCTATTATCTAGCTTATACCCAAGTAGTTTACAAATTTTTTGCACCAAAGTTAATTTTGAGCTGCTGGTCTAATTTTTTGTGATGACTTTTAAATATCATTAAATCAGTTTTTATAGAATTTTTTTTTTTTTTTTTTTTCACTTCTCCAAGGCCAACAAAAATTTGCGTATAGTTTGGCATTAATAGTTTTAAATCAGTTTTAAGAAGAGATATAACTTTGGTAGTTTTTAAATTTTCTGGAAAATTACAACTTGACAAAAAGATATTTGAAATGTTAGAACAAGTTCTTGAAAGTTTTTAATAGTTTTAAAATTTTAAACGATTGCTAAACATATTTATTTTAATGGCATTAAATTTAGAGTAGTTAGTTTAGCAGCAAACTTAAATTTGTTTAAAAAAAGTTTGTTAAATTAATTTTATTGTTATTATTCTTTGAAGTCTTTATATGTATACTAATTTATTTATAAGTATACTAGTTTATTTGTTTAAAAAAAAGTTTGTTAAATTAATGTTATTGTTATTATTCTTTGAAGTCTTTATATGTATACTAATTTATTTATAAGTATACTAGTTTATTTATATTTAGAAATTTGACAACAAATGCAAGCATTAGGAGAAACTTTTTTTGGAAATTGCTGTTTATAAAAAAAGGTATGTCCTAATCAAGTTATTATATTAAAACTGTCTAGTAAGAGGATAATTCTTTACTGTTTAGAAACAAAATGGACTTTGTATATGAAGTTCAATATTTTGTTAAAACTGGAAAAAAAACTTTCATATACATCAGGAATTTTTGAGGAATCAGGCCTCTTTGAGCATTAAAAGGAAGTATTTAATTCCCCATTATCAGACAAAAATTAATACATTACATACTAAAAACAAAAAAAATTGTTATATAGTCAAGATTTTTAATTCGATTGAAAAATTAGAATTTTTAAAAAAGCCAATATTCTCAAATAATGCAGAGGTCCTGATAAGAAATACAATAAAGAATGAAGTAAGTTTATATTTAGATATGAATTCATTATAAACAGAGCAGCAAACTTATGGAACACATTGGGAACACAGCAAAATTACGGAGTGCATTGGAAGTTGTCAAGTCAACAAATGTAAACAGTTTTGAGAAAAAATTAGGCAAATTTTTATTATTTATTTTTTCAATTTTCAGTTTTTGCTGAAAATTGAAAAAAATTATCAAAAATTATATTTGTTAAATTGAAGTTATATTGCAGTATATTATCAAAAGCTTTTGAAGTGAGTTTCTAACTCACTTGCTGTTAAGACAGCTACAGTTTGTACTGTTTGTACTGTGGATTATTATATTTTTTCAAATGTAAGCGTCAGTTTTTTCAGCAATTTTTAGTATTTTGCTATTACTGATTATATATATATATATATATATATATATATTATATATATATATATATATATATATATATATATATATATATATATATATATATATATATATATATATATATATATATATAATCAGTAATAGCAAAACATATATATATATTTTTCTAGAGTTGGAGATTTTTTAAACCCATTTGTTTTTATATAGTGTTTAGTTTTGAATACTTTTAGTAATGGTAGAAAAAGAAACTGTTTTGAAAGTAGTTGTTTTTTTAATTAATGAATCTGCTGCATTTCACAAAGGCAGATATATATATATATATATATATATATATATATGTATATATATATATATATATATATATATATATATATATATATATATATATATATATATATATATATATATATATATATTTATAAATATATATATATATATATACATATACATATTTATAAATATATATACACATATACATATTTATAAATATATATACACATATATATATATATACATATATATATATATATATATATATATATATATATATATATATATATATATATATTATATATACATATACATATATATATATATATATATATATATATATATATATATATATATATATATATATATATATATATATATATATATATATATATATATATATATATATATATATATATATATATATATATATATATGTATATATATATATATATGTGTATATATATTTATAAATATATATATATATATATATATATATATATATATATATATATATATATATATATATATATATATATATATATTTATAAATATATATACACACATATATAATATATATATATATATATATATATATATATATATATATATATATATATATATATATATATATATATATAAACTCTGTTTTTTTTCCAGTAACTCTCAACCTAATAGGTGTTGCTTGCCTTGTTGGGAGTGAATCAAAATTAAAAAAAATTTGTAGAATACATTTAAAATTAATTTTATATATATATCAGGGTGGTCACAGCTGGTCTAAATCTCCTCTAATATCCCCTATTATCCTCTAAAAAATGAAATATTTGATTAAATCTTCTTTTTAACTTTTTTTTTTTTAAATTTTTTTATTTCTTGATGGAGTGTTCTATGTTACAAATTCCTAATCTGCAAAACTGGTTAATGTCGTAAAGGGCATTGGGTTGTAAAAAATCAATTTTAAGAAATCAATGTCATCATTGTTGTTGATAGTTTTATATATTGTTATATATTTCATGTTATGTAAAACTTCTTTAATATAAATAGATTTATATAACATAGACACCCAAAAATTGTGACATATGTTGTCGTGTATTCCAAATGTTTTAAAAAATTACATTTAAGTATGAGTGTTTTTGAAACTACTAGCAACCTGCTTGTATGGCAAAATATAAAAGTCTCATTAACCAAAGTTTCAGGTAAACATCCTATAAGGTTATTTTTTATTGATAGATTTAAAAAAATAGATTGTTTTTTATTGATAGATTTAAAAAAAAATTAGTTGTGCAAGGGGACAAGAAATTTTGACGTTAAAGTACTTACACACAAACTAATCTCAATATACTACAAGAATTAATAACAAAAATAACTTTCAGAAGATTATACTTTCTTCCTGGCATCTTCAGAATGTTTGAAAAATTAATTTACTGTGGATGAGTGAAATAAAAACGTTGTTTAAGAAGAATTTTTACTACATTTATAAAGTGTTACTTTATAAAGCATAAAATTGGCAGTAATTTTTGTTTGACAATTGCTGTTTTCACAATTTTTTTAAACTCAATCACTTTTGATTCAATTTATTAAAAAGTAAAAAACAGTTTTAGACTTCAACGGTTGAAATTATTTTTTAAACTTCGTTGAAGAAACTGACATTGCTCTAGCATAAATTGAGATCGACCTGATGAAAGATGGTATTATTTATATATGTGATAATTAATAAAAGACAATTAGTTTTTAAATAATCAGATGAATGCTGGCCTTTATATTATATGGCTGGTTGTGTAATTATATTTTGTGCATAATTAATGTAACAATATCAGTCTCTTTGTTCCAAAATTAAAATTTATGTTTCGCATAGTAAATTGGGTTACTCTTACTCCTTTGCATTTCCTTCGTTTTTGTTAAATATTGTTTTGTAAAGTTTATTGTCTCTCTCATATATAATATGAATGTGCAGCCAATATTTTTTAATTCGCATTTTATATTTTTTATAAATAATAGAGCTTAAATATATTTATGGATTATTATACTATTATTTAATAGCTTAATTGTTTTACTTTTTTTTCCGTCGATCCTGTCCTCCCCACTACATTAAATAAGTGACTACATAAAAATAAATGTATGTTTTAGTAATCCCTGTTGTGGCAGTATAACTCTTACTTGTTTTAGGTTAATTGAGCAAGGAATTTTCTCTAGAAAATCACCTAAACATGGGAAAAATGCATGTTTTATAGATACAAAAAATCAAGAAACTGTTATCTAGATATTAATTCAGAAAAATGCTTGATATATTAGGAAATCAAATATTTGTTAGTATATTATCTAAAAATGATAACATTTGTTATCGTTTTTAGATAAAATGAAAATAAATTTTTATTTAACGTGGCTTTTTATGAACAGCAACCATGGCGCAGTGATAATAATTATAACTCAGAACGAGGAGGTATAATGCCGGCTCTAACCCAATAACCGTCATTGGAAGGGAAGAAAACTTTCTAGATAAATGCTCCTCCGCTGTGTTCTATGATAAGAACTTTACGGCTTTTTGGAGAAACTTAACTACTAAAAAAAACTTTTAAGTTAACTGGCAACTTAGAAGGAAGGGTCACCCTGCTAAAATTTTGAAGTAGTGCAGTTCCGTTTACTGTTTAGGTCCCTCTGTTGACTTTAACCGCCACTGCTCATATTAGAAAAAAAACAGCATTCCACCTACATTCTTTTTTACTGCACTTAAAAGTTTTCTTTGATACCTTACCAATAGAAAAGCGTTTTTTTTTTCATTAGATTCTAACACAAATGAATTCTAACAAAAAGCCAACTTAATTTTCTACAAATGTTTGCTGTCAAATTTACAGTTCTAAAGTCTTTGACCGTACGCAATCCTTTGATTAAATATTTTTGAGTAATTACTGCAGAGATGATTCATTAATTGATCCGCGCGTAATTTGAAACTTAAATGTTACTTTTTTCTGTTCAATTTGATTTGATTCAAAACAAGGATATATAAAAACTCTTTCAAAAGTTTTGAACTGAGACCAAAAAAGCTAAAAGTTACTTTTTGCTCTGTCATTTACAATGTTTCAAAATGTTTTAGTCTGTTTAACATCGTCCACAATAGCTTTAAAAAAGTTTGTAAAAGATGCTAGTTATTGGTAAGGACCTTAAAAGATATCTAGTGTCAATGTTGCTCAGTAGGGTGCAGTGATAACATTGAAAAAAATTTTTTTTTTGAAATTTATTTTGCCTGGGTGTGCAAAAGTTGTCTATTCATATCAGAAATATTCTGCAAAAATTTCAATGCTCTAGAAAATTATCTTGAGGTGCCCCAAGGACTTTGAAATCCCCCAAAATCCCCAAAAAGTTAGAAATTACAATTATTATTAAATTCATATTTTCACAAAAAAATCAATGGCTAAAAATAAACTGATTTGTTTTTCGATTTCTTTTATAATAAACCTGTATAATGGTTTTAACATCATATCAGAACCTAATGAAAATATATTTATGTAAATTGTAGAACTTTGAGGTGCCACAAAAATTAAGAATAACAATTATTTCAAGTTTATTTTCTGTCAGTTAATTATTTCAAGAACGTCATTTTAAAAGGCTGAAATCAGATTTTGTGTTAAAGACTTTCATAGCTGATCGCGACTCTATTCTTGCACGAATAAAACCATCACGCTGATGTTCACAGACTGCCATACTAGCTTCAGTGACTAGCTTCACGCTTCTTTCTACAGACTGAGTGTGGTATAGAAAGCTTTTAAGTTGTAGCATTTCTGAGGTCAGAATGCTGTTTTTAAGCTGAGTCGATTCAGTATATCTGAGCATTGGAGGTTCAGCACTTTTATTTGATGACCAGTTGATTATGTCTGCATAATCTGTTGCTTCAAAGTTTAGAGGAGGTATCTTAAACAATCTAACTGTAGGTTTAGCATCAGTCTTGTCGGATATCGATCTTGCAGCCAATCATGTCTTAGTGCTAATTGACGAATGTGGAGCCTTTCATCGGTTGCCATTGATATTAATAAGTTTTCTGGATGAGCAAAGTATGCATTTGTTTGGATTACAGGATCAACAATTTTCTTGAGCTCTATAGGCAAGTATCAAATTTACAATATTATCACCAAATAGGTGCATATACCTTTTGTATGTAAGTTACAAGAATGATAAAGTTTTTGTCTGGCTTTTCTGTAGATACATATAACCGGAGGATACGACTAGCAGTTGTTATCCATCGAGAATGACACATGGGTCCCGGTTTTCGATTACCCAATTCAAAACTACATTGGCCACTGGATATTGCTTAACACATTTCATGCAAGTACCTTTGATCTGTGCTAAGATCATCTGCATCAATGCTGGACAACACATTTCCTTCGATTGGTTGAAAACTGACAATTGGCAAGTCCATGTTCATAATATTCCGATTGGACCACTAAATCAATTTGGCGATTTGCCACCAATGAACTGGTATCAAAAGCATTTGCATTCAAAAATGATATAATGCTAATCTTTATACT